TATATTAACTTGTTGTTTTTGAATTGCATAAAATCAGTATCACATTTGCAATTATGCTAATATTCAGGAAAACAGCACTCTTCTTCCTCGATTGATATTGCTTAAATATGCCATATGATATAAATACTGTATGGAAAAACAAGAACTCGTACAGACAAACCTCACTGGCACTGTGTCCGTGAAAATGAGAACAGTGTTGGCAGCTCTGGTTTTTAAAGACTGAGAACAACTTTCTTTAAGATGCTTTTTCAAGGTTAGAAGTTTCTTTGAAGTCGAGGGAAGTTTTGTTGCAGGTAAACAAAAATTTGATTGCACTGTGGTTACATCCTTTTTCACATTTATAAGTAAAATTGTCTTTGTATTTCCATGACAAAAAAACGCATTACGGGCTTGGCTTTCTGAGTTCTCCTGCATTTTTGTGAGTCCTGGTAGTGTCTGCACTCTGCAGGTTGCTAACTGAACAGGCTGGTTGCATGTTTTTTTTAAAGGGTCAAAATGTAAGTGCATTTGATTACCATCCATTTAAAATATACCTATAACGAAATACAGTTACTCATATTTTGTATTTTAAATACATAACAACGTTACGTGTATTTCATTACTCCCCAATCCTGGTGCTAAAACCACTCAGAACACCTTATCAACCACGTAGCAATGTACTAACACCAGACAGAAAACCGTAGCAACCGCATAGCAATATGCTAACACCAATGAGCACACTTTAGCAGTGTTTTAAAGCCACTCAAAACATCTTAGCTACGACATACGTAACAATAACTCTACAATAGCAACCGCTTCACAATACGTTGACACTAATCAGAGCACTTTAGCAGTGTCCTAAAACCACTCGGAACATCTTATTAACCACATAGTAACCCCTCAGAACAACCTAACAACTTCTTAGCAATGTACTAACACCAATCAGAACACTTTACATATCACATAGCAATAACTCAAAACACCTTATAGCAACCGCTTAGCAATGTATTAATACTGATCAGAACACTTTAACTGTGTGCTAAAACCACTCAAAACATCATAGCAACCAATCAGATCACCCTAGCAACTGCTGAGCAATATGCTAACACCAATCAGAACACTTTAGCAGTGTGCTAAAACCCCTTAGAACACCCTACCAACCACATAGCAATATGCTAACACCAATCAGAACACTTTATATACCATATAGCAATTCAGAACACCCTAGCCACCACTTAGCAATGTACTAACACTAATCAATACTCTTTTAACTGTGTGCTAAAACCACTCAGAACATCATAGCAACCACTTAGAAATATGCTAACACCAATCAAAACACTTTTACAGTGTGCTAAAACCTCTCAGAACACCCTAGCAACTGCATAGCAATGTACTACCACCAATCAGAACACTTTAAAGTCTGTGTGAACCAGAAGTTGCGACCGACTTCCATATTGTGACGTACTTCAGAGAGAAACGGAATATTGAATGAGAAAAACAGAGGGCGTGGCTTGTTTTTTTCTACTGCGAACTGATTGGATGTAGTAAAGTAGGCGTTTCATTCAGAAATGGAGGCAGATTTGAACAAGTTTGCAGTCAGTTGTTGAGGACTACTCACCACCTGACACGCCGCCAGCAGTCTCGTTCCAGCGAGAATTTTGTTTGGAGCAGTCGGAGGAGGAAGATGAGGAGCAGGAGATGCTCAAGCCCAAGCCGTCAAACTGACGTCATCGGAGAAGGTCCATCATTTCAGCGGGGAGGCGCATTTTCAGATTTGGATTAAAAATTACAAAGGCAAACTATTTTTTTATTATTGACTTGCACGGATGAATTGTTCACCACAAAAATAGCAGTGTGCTCTAAGAAAAAAATATAGTCAATTTTGATTTCTTGTGTACTTTAACAGTGAACTAAAACTGCTTAGAACATCTTAGCAACCATTTAAAACACATAGCAACCAGAACACATTATCAGTTTTATAAAATCACCAACATCTAAACAACCATTCAGAACACCCTAGCAACCACATAGCAATGTGCCATCATTCACCAATCAGAACACTTTAAGTGTTCTGCTGAAACCACTCAGAACACCCTAGCAACTTCATAGCAATGTTCTTATCAGAACACTTTAGCATCATGCTAAAACCACTTGGAATACCGCATAGCAACCACTCAGATCACCCTAGCAACCGCATAACAATGTGCTACAACCACTCAGAACAGCTTAGCGACTCACACTGTCTAGAAATGCCCTGGCAATGGCTCGAAACACACAAGCATCATGACAGAGAGTTACTTAACTCGCATTACAATCTAGATTGTAATGTTTAATGATTAATAAATATTGAGAGTGAAATGCAGGTGAAATTTGATTAAATTTTTTCAACACTTGCTCCTTTTTTTTAATGTTGTTTTGTTTGATTTGGCTAATTCCAGAATTTCTTGACATGTTGCCATAAGCTTTCATTTTAATTGAGGTTGGTTTTATTTTTGTCAAGAAAGATTTTTAGGTGAGAGCTGGATTTCCTGAAACACTTTTTCGTGGTAATAATTCGCAATTATTGAGGGGGAAGTGATTGCTCTTTAGAGGATGATTTGTTGCCATAAATATGTATGCTAATGAAACCGCCTCTATAGGATTATGACAGCTTTAATACACCGTCAGTTTGTCAACTTGATTTCCTTTAGTTAAGGCTATGAAACATCTCTTGTGTGTGTGTGTTTGTGTGATTCAGTGTGTCTGTTTATCATTCTGGGTGTCTTAATAGGATTGTGGCAGCTTCTTTGAAATATCCCTCTGATTAATATGTTTATAGAATTTCAAGGTTTAATCATAAATAAGATTTGCATAAAGCAGTTGCTATCAAGCTAATTTGTAAAGAGAATTAAATGAAACTTTATAAAGCATCAACATCCTATATTCATGAAATCGCCAAACCAGACTGAACTCAAACAGAGCACAGGCTATTAAAGATAATGACTATGAGTGAAACTGTAATGGCCTACTGCTTGTGACTAAGCCTTATTTGTTATTCTGCTCACTCTCATCTTCAACACCCAAGACCTTCCAATGTGATTTGTAGTGTCATTCCGCTTTTTACATGTCCGTTCCCCCAGTGCACTATGGGAAAGAGTGGGTACCCTTTTGTTATTGTTCTGGGTCGTGGATCACGAGAGATGTTTTTTCATCAACGTATTTGTTAATGTGTGTTTGAATGCTGCAAAATTCAAAACTATTCAAAATTCATAACGTGTGATGAATGAACTCTCGTTTGTAGTCCATATGGAAAATTAATTAACATTTATTTATTTATTTATTTAGTCATTTATTAGACGCTTTTATCCAAAGCGACTTACAAACGAGGACAACAGAAGCAATCAATTGTAGTATTAGTGTAGTATTATGTAGTATTAACTAAAAACAGATCCATAACTAAAAGCTAAAACTTTATAAATACTACCTATACACATTTTAAAAAGAAAGAGATTAAATAAAAATGACAAATGCATACAACAAAATTTCAAAACTTAACATTTAAATGAAAAACAAAATTTCTCCGCAACAAATGGCCAAGCAAGCGCAGACACTGACAAGATGCATGCGATACAGAACGAGACCAAACGCGATATCAGCACGTCTCCACACAAACATCATGTCAGTTGTTTTAGAAGTCACCATCTTTGATTTATACATTACCGTTAAAAGATTCTTTTAAACAAATTCATACTTTTATTCAGCAAGGACAAATTAAATCGATAAAAAGTGACAGTGAAGGCATTTAAATGTTAAATATTTCTGTTTAAAATAAATGCTGTTCTTTTGAACTTTCTATTTATCAAAGAATTCTGAAGAAAATGTATCACAGTTTTCACAAAAATATTAAGCAGATTTCTGAAGCATAATGTGAAACTGAAGACTGCAGTGTAATGGCTGCTCACAAAAAATGAATTACATTTTAAAATTTATTAAAATAGAAAACATTTATTTTAAATTGCAATAATATTTCATGATGTTACTGTTTTTATTGCATTTTTGATCAAATAAATGCACCCTTGGTGAGCAAAAGAGACTTTAAAATATTAAAAAAAGAAACTGACCAACCCCAAACTTTTGAATGACACTTTAGTTTAGGACCAGTTCTCACTATTAACTAACTATTAACTACAACTTTTGCTGCTTATTAATAGTTAGCAAGGTAGTTGTTTCGGTATGGGGTAGGAGTAAGGGATTTAAAATATGGTCACGCAGCTTAAAGAATTAATATGTGCTTTATAAGTGCTAATAATCAGCCAGTATGCTAGTAATATGCCTGCTAATAAGCAACTAGTTAATAGTGAGAATTGGTCCCTAAACTAAAGTGTTACCCTTTCGTCACTGTTACTATGGGTACTGGCTGCATGCTGTTGCATGAACAATGAGAATTACATTGGAAATTTGCAATAGCCTGTAGAACGCAGTTTTAGTTTTTAAGGCCATTTTAGTTATTTTGGTGTCTGGTTTGCATGCATGATTTTTTTTAAGTTATTGCGCTGACGCTGTGACACCAGTAGCCTCAGAACAGCCTGAGTTTGACACTGTCAGCGTGGCTTCGCAGGTGCTAACGTGCTGTTAGAATCTAACCTCTCATGAGATCCTGTTACTAAAAACAGACGTGCACACTCTCTGCCTTGCGTCCCCGGTGGACTCACTGCTGTCTGTTCAAGAGACTTGAGCATGCCGCTTTGCTGTGATCAGAGGTCTTGCTTGGGTAATTTGAGCCAGGCTCCTCTGTCCTGCTCTGAAGGAGAAAGTGAGGCGTGAAAATAGCATCCCTCTCCTCCTATCTCCCTCCTCTTCCTTGTGTTGTTGTCCCTGCAGTGCACTTCTAGATACAGTCCCTTATGCCTATCTGGCTACGGCACCATGGGAAACCTGGTTTATAACAGATGCAAATAATAATGAGACCAACAACAGCAAAATGACACATCAGATAATCATCACTGTAACCTGTGACATTTTATGCATTTTATTTTTTTCAGGTGTACATTAGAATCCTGGACAATGAGTGGAATGTGTACCGGCGCTATGCTGAGTTTAGGGCACTGCACAATTACCTGCGGCCGCAATTCCCACAAGTCGACGCATTCAATTTCCCACCTAAAAAAGCCATCGGCAACAAGGTATGTACTGCGGATTTTCTCTATAACGGCAGGTTCTCTTTTTTCCTTGTCCTTCTATTGTTTGGCTCACCTGAATATGCAGGATTATTAGGCAGGTTAGTAGGTGGGTTAGTAGTAAATAGGAGTTAAAAAGGATTGAAATTCAATAGAAATTTCTAGAATTACTATAAGTGACATACTTTGATTGCTAACTTGACAAAGCCTTGACAAAGCCTTGAAAGTTGAAATCCAGATTCACACTTTTTAATCCATTTCTTAAATTTAGAATGTGGTACAGCTCTGTACTGCAAAGAAAACTGCATCCAGAGCAGCATGACAAGGTGTATCTACAAACTTTTAATCTGACATAAATGTATTTTCAAAGGATTCACAGTTGTGGGAAACAACGTATCATGCATTCGAATTGATTGTTGATTTGTGCACAGCTGGCAGAAAACATTGGCAATGGCAAAGTTTGTAGGCCGCAACATTTTAAATGAGAGTAATCCAAAAATATGAGATGAAAACATGTCAGCAGAGCACAAAAAGGCAAAATAAAGAGAATGCTACTGAAAAGAGAGCCAGAGCCACCCCCCAAAACACTTTCCATCAGTGCCACTCTCACCACCTGCTACTTACCAGCTTGCATGACATCACTGTAAGTGTTAGTGGCTGGGCCCCTATCTCAGCCCTCACAATTTTAAAGTATTTAAAGTCATATTTAATTTCTAAAGTATTTCACAAAGGTAGTTTTGCAACAAAAAGTGTGCAGAGTGATGTTTTGAAACCTGCAGAAGATTTTTAGAAGTTGCAGTGCTGTAATCTGCTGTTTTTGGCTACTTCTTCAGCACTTCCTGGACTGATTGTTCTCTGTTCTCTGACTGACTGATCTGACTGAACCACATAACAAGATCAAACTGTAGAAATCAACCTTTTCATTAAGGGACAATATTTGCCCCTTAATTTAAATCAATTCCAGGGGCATTTTTTACCTTTGTAAGGGAAATTGCCTTATTAAATGTGTAGTCTTTTATGACAAATATTTACATTTAATCAATTATTTCAATCAATCAAAATACTACAGAAGATAGACCAATACAATTTTATCAGCATCAACAAAAGCCATCCTTACACTGCAAAGGTGGAACAGCTGCATCTGACATGACATTTATGTTGAATGCTGCTCAAAGGTGGCACACATGTATTTACACAACAGTTGCATGATGTAAATAACCTACATAAAGTACATTAATAAAAAAAAAGGAACTCATTACAGTGTAGGGCGGCAACAAAAATCATTATTGTTGATTACTGCTTTTGATATTGTAATATTTAATATTAATGTCAATTAATAGTATACATAAAATATGAAGTGGGACATCAATTTCTTACTGCACAAACACAAGAAGTTAAGAACCATTTATGAAATATTTTTTTTATTTATTTTTTTTTACACATTGGTTCACATTGGTTTTTGGTGAAAACAAAACGGTTATTCAAACTTGGATTAATTTACATACAGAAATCGTGCAAAGAACGTTACCCATCACTAAAATAGTCCATGTCTTCATTCTATGATTGGTTATAATAATCGCGCTGCCAAAAACGTGTAAAAAGAAATCTATTGCAACATGAGCAGATCTAAGTGTAATGTAAACACAATTTACACTTGTCATTTGTTTTCAGCTTTCATTTTTTAATCACAACTGCAGTAATAGATTTAGTTTAATTGTGCAGGTTTTTTTTAATTGAAATCTTAAAATGTGGACAATTTTAGTGGAATTTTTTGCGCCAAGCAACCATTTTTGACCCTGGAATGTATTGATATATGTGACCCTGGACCACAAGACCAGTCTTAAGTCACTTGGGTATATTTTTAGCAATAGCAAAAAAACATTGTATATGTCAAAATGATCAATTTTTCTTCTATGCCAAAAATCATTAGGATATTAAGATCATGTTCCATGAAGATATTTTGTAAATTTCCTACCGTAAATATATCAAAACTTAATTTTTGATTAGTAATATGCATTGCTAAGAACTTCATTTGGACAACTTTAAAGGCGATTTTCTCAGTATTTAGATTTTTTTGCACCCTCAGATTCCAGATTTTCAAATAGTTGTATCTCTGCCAAATATTGTCCTATCCTAACAAACCATACATCAATGGAAAGCTTATTTATTCAACTTTCAGATGATGCATACATCTTAATTTAAAAAAAATTCACTCTTATGACTGGTTTTGTGGTCCAGGGTCACATACAGAGTTTTGGTGGCCAACTTCAGTTCTATCACCACTGATTTTGCCACTTTGGAGGTGTTGACTCTTTTTCCTAGTTTATCTACAAGGCTGCTGTGGAGTAAGTATAAGGGCAAGAATTGCCCCAGTGCCCATCAGCATCATCAGCGGGGCAGCACTGTATGCACTAATGTGGAGAGTCCACTCTGACAGCACTCTGATCCCCCACCTGTCTTTTCATTTTCCTTCCTTTTTTTCTCCCTCTGTTCACCCAGGGGCAGATAATTGGCTTGTGGCACCGCTTCCTCTCGCTGCCTGTGATTTTTGAGAGTGTGCCAGGCAGAGCCACTGGCCCCCTTCAAAGGTAGACTTTTTAGAGCGTGAAAGACAGACGTGATTTACCAGGACCCAGAAAGGCACTGCCAGTCTGGGTCCCACCTCAAGGACGGCCAATCAAAAGAGTCAATCAACCCCAGGGCTGGCGTGAAGACAGCATGCTTTGTACCTGCTCTTAAGCACATTAGTTTTGCACTACCAGCAGTCGGTTGCTCGTCTGGACTTCATATAGTTATTTTTAACCCCGCGCCACATTTTGCCATCTTGCTCTTAACATATCACCAAGGAGTGAAAACAGCTGAGCAATTGTCAATTAGGAGATGTGTCTGCATCTGTCCTCGAGTAACTCGCTCTGCTCAGTGATAAGTTCCTGACCTCTCAGGAAAGCAGGTTTTGTTTTTGTGCTATGCAGAACCTGCGCACATATACAGGACAGAAGGAGCCTCTCTGTTCTCATTTTTTTCAGAGCCGAGAGCTGCTAACTGCCTTCCGCTGAAGTTTTAGCTGAAGCTTTGACATGCAAATTCAACTGGAGTGTGGAAACCCTCAGGGCTCAGTTAGAACAAGAAAGTAGGGAGAAAAGGGTACATTGAGAGCAGGCTTTTAAAGTTTAAATGACTGCAACTGTGGAGGGGTTTGATGGCGACAGGGCTTTTGTTGGTAATCATCGGCCTGTTGTGATTAGCTGTCATGTAATTGTTAATTCTGTTATTATTTTGCTGGAGCTCGGTGGCAGTTTGTTAAAAAGGGGCTCTGTTATTTTTCCTTGCGATACGGGCCATTGCACACGTATGCAAATATGATATCTGATCTTTCGCAGTCCTGAGCTTTGAGCAGAGTCTTTGAGAGTACTCAAACAGGGCCTGTAGAATCATTTTTCCTGGATCCACTTAATCAAAGGTTAGCAGGGTACTTCAGATTTATTAAAGGGATAGTTCACCCAAAAATGAAAATTGCCCTATGATTTACTCACCCTCAAGCCATCCTTGGTGTATATGACTTTCTTCTTTCAGACGAATACAATCGGAGTTATATTAAAAAATGTCCTGGCTCTTCCAAGCTTTATAATGGCAATGAATGGTGGTCGAGATTTTGAAGCAAAATAAAGTGCATCCATACATCAAAAAAAGTGCTCGGCCCCCATTATAAAGCTTAGAAGAGCCAGGACATTTTTGAATGTAACTTTGATTGTATTCGTCTAAAAGAAGAAGTCATATACACACCTAGGATGGCTTGAGGGAGTAAATCATGGGGTAATTAAAAATTTTGGGTGAACAATTCCTTTTATTAATTGGCTCCTCCTTATCAGAAATACAGAGCTCTGCACGTGCCATGCGGACAAAAATATATTTATCATTCCCACAAATTAGAAATTTGTTCTCTCATTTTGGTTAAATCATGGCCACAAAATTAAGAATTTGTTCCCTCGTGGGTAAGTCCTTGTCATGTGCTAAATTGTTCCGTTGCTTTGATTTATTTAGTTAACGTGGACACAATTTACTGAAACGGGGGAATGAATTCTTAATCAGTGAACACAATTTAACTAAAACGAGAGAGAGAATTAAGTAGTGGGAATTAATTCTTCATTTGTGGCCACGATAAATATATATTTTTGTCTGCATGTCACAGACAGGCCTCTGTACACATAAGATGAAATAGGTGAATGGGTATTCAGACCGTTTCAGAGTATGTTTATTTTTATTCTAATATATTTTATGTGTGTTTGTGATAAGTAAAAATATTCACAAACATCATCAATAATGGTGTCTAAAAAAATCTAAAAAAGAAAATGTTTTTTTTTCATATATTAATATTAAAATATTAATATAAAAATATATTTTTTAATATATACATTTTTATACATTCATGAAATTAATACTTTTATTCAACAAGGTTGCATCAAATTAATCAAAGTCAAGACTTTTACATTTTTACAAAAATATTCTATTTCAAATAAATGCTGTTCGTTTTGTGAAAAAGTATCATGGTTTCCACAAAAAAATATTAAGCAGATTTCTACATTAAAGGGGTCATATGATGCGATTTAAATTTTTCCTTTCTCTTTGGAGTGTTACAAGCTCTTGGTGCATTTATGTCCCCACTGGATGCAACAAATGCCTCGTTTGTAATGGGTTTTAATGTTTTTGAATGTGCAGCATCATATGACCCCTTTAATAATAATAATAATAATAAAAGTTTCCTGAGCACCAAATCAGCATATTCAAATTAATTCTGAAGGATCGTGTGACACTGTAGACTGGAGTAAAGGCTGCTGAAAATTCAGCTTAGCCATCACAGAAATAAATTACATTTTAAAGTATATTCAAATATATGACAGTTATTGTAAAAATATTAAATTGTAAAAATATTTCACAGTATTATTGATTTAACTTTTATGAATAAAAGTGTGTATACTTTAATATTTAGAGCACTATATTGCTTGTAC